GTTGGTCCTTGACTGATACTGAGAATGTGGAAAAATTAGGAGGGAAATAATAAAGGTATAAGTGGAAAAAATGAGGGTTGGGGGAGAGACAGAAAGAAACACAGAAAATAAAAGGAAAGCAAAAGGAGAAGAAAATAACATTAAAGAACAAGCTTCACTCATAAGATATTCAATATTCAATAATATCAATAATATTTGCTGAACTGAGTGGATTAATCTGAAGAAGTGAGGGAAATCTTGGACATTATCGCTATTAGCCAAGCTGTTGGGCCAAGTACCCCTACGGTTTTCACGTAGTATAAAATAATACCAGTGAGCATATTGTAATTTGGGCCACAAGGCCAGAGGAGGCCAAGTCAGGTGGTGGCCTACAACAAGCACTTAGACTTTTGACTATTTGAAACAATATGTCCTTGAGTCCTGTATTTTTTCTGATGCTTAATTAAGCAATTTTCTTAATGCCTAACAACTGACAGGCTGCAAGAATTGAGGATAAAGTGAGAAGGAGCAAAGGGTAACTATAAACTAAACAAAAGATAATCTGTGCAGAGAAAGAGAAACAGCAGAGACCAGAATTGAGAGGTATGGAACTTAGAGAGCTTGTCAAACCTGTATAACTTCACTGAGATGGCCGCTTGTTCTAAGATGGTTCTCCAACTTGATGCTGCTCACTTCCCTCTTTCTCAGAAACTTTAACAGCCCAACTCATGCCTCCCAACCACACAGCTCCAAGAGGAACATTTGCGGGGTGGCCTGTGACTTTCTTGAGAGGTGTGAGGGAGAACACACTTGCATAGCAGGCATTCAGGTTTGAACTCAAGTTTCACAAACTACAACACAAGACTTTCAGAAAATGGAAAGTCTGAGCTTTCATTTTATCGCCAATCCAATGAAAAGCAACAACCACCTTGTTAAGCAAGTCTCTATCCTTACTTAGATACTGTACAGAAAACAACAGGCATCTAGCAGGTTATTCTCATCTCATTGTTGAGTAGTTAGCTGGGATCTAGATGTCCAAATATGTTATACAACATATCCTCTGTTCTCAACTATTCTGACAACTTTCACTGACACGTAGCCTGGCTGCCTTCACCCCTACTTTTGACTATAAGTTCACCACACAATTGAAATTTTCTTTCCTTCCTTTCTATAGGGAGCTTCATGTTTTCCTTTGCTGAAGATTCAGATTAAGACAATCATATTTATAAGCATAAATATTAATTTTTAAGTATTCAACTGATAAATGAGCCTGTATGTACATTCTTAAAATACTTTAGTAGTCTATTTAAAATCTAGATAGTCTGTCATACAGCAACACCTAAGTCGTTATTTCATGAAGAAAAAAAGTTTCTCTCCTTAATGCCCCCAGCAAAATTTTCTTCTGCTGCAAAGTGATAACAAGACAACACTTGCTAGAAGCATCATTTTCAGGAAGAAATAACAATAGCAAGGAGATGTTTGCAATCATACCCAAAAAAGTCTAGAGAAACAGCTATATCTAGTTATCTAGTTAATATTTTTCAATGCTGCCCAAGTAACATGTGAAAGGTCTCAAAAAAAATGGTATATAAAAGTTGTTAAACAGACTTAGGCAGCAAATTATCTGGTTTTGAATCATGGTTGCAATAGTAAAAGCTGGTAAACATAGACAACTACTTAATTCAGTATGTTTCTGTTTCCTCATACCATAAAATGAAGGTGACAGTATTATTGATGTTAAAAGTTTGCTGAAAAGATTAAATACCTAATGGCCCTCCCTGGTGGCACAGTGGGTTAAAACACAGCACTGAGAAGCTAAAGCCACTTCAGCATGAGTTTGGTTCCCGCCTGCCCCGGAGGTGACCACATGGTGTGGCAGACCTCTCCTGACCTGCCTGCTGCTCCCCTCAGCAGTGTACTTCATTGATCTGCCTGTTCTGTTCCCCACTCTGTCTCTGGTGAAGCCTCTCACCACCCCTGAGCCTCTGGCCTGTACCCCAGTTCTGTATGAATAAATAAATCTTTAAAAAAAAAAAAAGATTAAATGCCTAGCACATAATTAGTGCTCTGTAGTATAGTTATTATTATTATTATTGATATTCCAGAGAAACACTCCTGTTCAATAAAGGAACCCCATTTCTATAATTCACTTGCAAATGTTCAGCACCCCTTTACTTTAGAAAGGAAGCACAAAAAACTAACAAGCATACCTTCCTCACTCCTTTCCCACATTTTCTTTAAATGGATGACTCACTTAGCGTGCTCCACTTTTACCTATTCTGCTCCTGGGTGGGAGTGACAAACAAAACTAATTGTGCTTCCTAAAACTACCGTAGTCAACATCTGAAGTCAGTTAACAAGTCTTTGTTTTATCTCTCTTTTTCACAGAAGAACAATAGCCTCAATAGTCTCAAATGATAGTTTAAGTGTTCTGAGCAAAAGGGCTTCATACCAGCAACTTGCCAGATGTCTCTGGTTAATTTGCCCATGTTCCCCCAGACATTCAGCACGAGGTCTTAATTTTGCTCTGCCAGAACTGAAGTTTGCTAAACAATGTCTACATAAACAGAAAATCTAATTTCAGTAAAAGATCTGACCTCTGGATGCCTGGTGGCCTTGGGGCTCAAGGAAAGTCTGACTGGACAGAAAGGTTATCTGTGCTCTCTCTCTCATCCTTCATCACCAACACTCAGTTCTCAAACATGTGAAGCGCTGTATTCAATTAGGAACCCAATCCTGCCCTCCAGGTACATCACAGCCTGTGCCATAAGGTGAACCAGACATTTTTTAATGTCCTTTCACACAGGCCTGTGCTCTGAGGACCCAGCCCTTGTTGAGTATTGCTGCAATAGGTGAATGTGCTTCACTTTGCTTGAAGAAGCCAGACGATACCAGGAGGAACTGTTCTTAATACCATAAGTAGGCATGTCATAATAAATTAGGCTGCTGCTCAAACTGGTCGGCTTGAGGTCTCTCAACTATATAGAGAGTACTAAGAAGAGTAGGATGGTAGAAGGAAACAAAACTTGCTAAGAGTCTCAGTCTACCATTAACTCTTGTCACTTCCCGCGGCATATTCTGCAACATCCTTGTATCTGTCTCTTCACTTTTCCAGTAAGGGGTTTGTAGGAGATAAACTTTATGGTTTTTCTGGCTCTAAAGTCTTCTGATGTTGACTATAATAAATTTAAATCCAAGATCAGAGTACTTGATATACTGTGGTACTTTGACTCATCCTGATTTACAATCCTCCCATAAGGCTGAGTACCTGTAATAGAAACCAGCTACATGCTCACAAGTTGCACTAGTGAGTACAGTATATATGCTTATCTCACATTGTTAAGCTACCTAACACCTACAGAATAGTGGTTGCCTCAAGATGGACAAAATAATTGAACATAATCTGGGTCCAAGAGGAGTAATCTGGTAGAATATGCAGGGAGAGATACAAAGAAAAAGAATTGTTATTAAATTCTCTTTTACTTCTAGATTCAAGCATATTGTTATTTGAATTTTTTATAGATAGCATGATTAAGTGTACACATATAAGTAGAATAATGCATAACAGAACATTACTGTGTACACATCTCTCTGATGTATTTAAAATAATACTGGATGCTGTTCTATTTTTGAAAAACAAGCATAAGTTTATAACACATTTCCTGAATTCACGTCATTAAAAATAAATAATTATTACTTTTGAGTATAGATAAAATGCCTTTCTAAACTGGCTAATAAAGCTTTTGGCTTAAAAAATTATTCAGAAGTTTAATGTTAACCAAATTTCTTTATCACAAAGCATTCTGATTAATAATACAGAGTACCTTATTCCCTTGACAAATATTTATCACTCATTTACTATGTACCAAGTACTGTCCACAAATTGATGAATTAATCTTCCTTTACAGTTCTATAGTTCTGGCAAGATGATCATTTAAGTCAGATATTTTACCATTATTTTTATTATTTGTCTGTGAAAAATTAAACTTTGCTTTAATGTCACAAATCACACAATTTACAAGGGACTGAAGCTTAGCCAAGACATTATCAAGGCCAAGGACCCAATTTCAACTAATGAATATTTACTCACTTAAAAATAATGCAGAAAGGGAGGATCTAACTTGTGATGTGTCCATTCGGTCTCCGTGGTCAGGAAAGGCAGACTCTAGCCAGACGACATGCGGGTGTGAACATATGCGTGTGTGCACACACCCGGTGTGCAGGTGCACACACCTTCAGGGGCTGAAGGAAATACTTACGTGTTGTTTTGAAAATCCTTGTTTTTTAACTTAGTTATATAGCTTTTTAATTGTCCCCTATGCCTGAAGGGTCCTTTACAACTAACTTTTCCTCCTTAGGTCCTCAGGTGAAAGTCACCTCCTCAGTCAAGTCTCCTCAAGAATCCCATCTGTTGTCTCTTTGTCTTTCTTGCCTCCTAATCTGCGATATCACCCACCATACTGTTGTCTTCCATTGTATCATTTATTGCAATTAATAATTATACAGTGTTTACTTGTTTCTGTGTAAACAATCTCCCTATGAGAACTATTCTGTGTCTACTCACTGATCTATCCTTAGCATCTAACACAATGATTGGAAGAGGACGGGGCTTCTTTCCACCGTAAAATAAATGAATGAAGCACCAATTTACTCCTTTTTCATGGCACTTTCAGAAAAGACTTTCACGATATACATACATAATTCACTGTGATTTGTGTATACTTCGAAGTCCAATCTTGTAGAAAGACAGAAGGTTAGGCTACCTAAAAATGTCTCTTCATCCTGCTAGGGTTTTTGAGATCATGGAAATGATTCTCATAAATTCAGATGCTCAGTCCTACACCAAAACCATAATACAACCCCTGCTTTAAAGAAAAGTTCTATTTAAAGGGAGACTCCTTTGTGAAACATAACCATTTCAAAAGCCCCTCTATCCCAAAATCTAATAGACAATGGGTTAGTATCACCTACTGTATCATAGTAGTCAAGTTGAGTCAAAATGTATGGGGAACACTTCTTACCTGGAGTCCTTTCTGACTCTTGCTTTCTCAAAGGAGAATTCTGGAGGTTTGTTGAGGTCATAGGTTCGGGTTGTTGGCTCAGCAGACACCCCAGCCTTTGCACCCCTCCGGCTGTGGAGAGAGACCAGTCCCGAGGTCCTGCGGTGAACCTCCAGAGGCACCTTCTCTGGTGAGGCTTGCAGCGGGCTGCCCCCCTGCACATGCACCACATCCTGAAGCTTGTTCAGCTGGATGCACTTGTTCTGGAGTTCTTCCGTGAGCTCCGCAATGGCCACAGTCTGCTTAGACAGCTGCTCCCGAAGTTCCTTCAGAAGGTACTCCTGCTCCTGGATCTTGGCATCCTTCCTCCTCAGCTCCCTCTCCAGCTCTGTCACCTTGTTCCGCAGGGCTTCACTGGTGAGGTGCCCAGAGTGGCCATCTGGATGCTTGGAGTGTTTGGGCTTCACTGAACCATTTCCCATTTTGCTCGAGGATCTGAGACAGGGCACAAAATTGAGATTCACCTAGTGAAGTTTCACTTCCTTACAATCACACCACTACTTTCACTCCCATCAATTACATAAGCAGAAACAGAACAGTTATTATTGTTTTACAAGCAATAAATTCCCCATGCTCTGGAAGGAAAATCATTGATTGGTTCCCTTCAGCCCTCCACTGGAAGGAGAGGGCACTGGCTTCATGCTTCCCTTTCCCTTTGCTGGCACAAGTGTCATACCTAGTACTTTGCACAGCCTGTGTTACCTGCTGTGCCCTTTGGTCATCCTCTCCGACAACTGTCAAAGCATCATAAAAAATCTCCGACGTGGGGCCCTCCCTGGTGGCGCAGCAGGTTAAAGCACAGCACTAAGAAGCTTAAGCCACTTCCGCATGAGTTCGATCCCCCTCTGCCCCGGAGGAGATCCACATGGCGTGGCAGACCTCTCCTGACCCGCCCGCTGCTCCCCTCAGCAGTGTACTTGGTCAATCTGCCTGTTCTGCTCCCCACTCTGTCCCTGGTGAATCCTCTCACCCTCCGCATCTCTGGCCTGTACCTCAGTTCTGTATGAATAAATAAATAAATCTTAAAAAAAAAATCTCCGATGTGGATGTCAGTATGGCAAAGATAAAAAAGCAAAGGAGCAGCTACAGTAGCAAAGACTTGGAAATGTCACAACTCTCACAGGTCCCAATGCGACTACACTAAGAAACCTCCTGATTTAGAAAATAACACACCTGCATTCCTCAGGAGGAAGCAAAGTTGGTGCTGCTTTATTAGCACTTTTCTCTTGCTATGTGTACCTATTCAGTTGTGTCTTCATGATCAATGCTTACAGCTAAAAAGTAAAACAACTTCTGGATTGTGGCCAAAGTTAGGACAGAGGTATGAGAATTCATCTACATCTTTTATATCCTATAGTTGAATTTTGCTTACAGTGCAAGGCTTCATTCTTTTCCTGTCAAGAATATCCTTAGTGTAGCCCCCAAAACAGTCATTAGCCTGCTGAGTCTTGGGACCAGGGATTATTGCAGCATGACTTGAGTGGACTCAGAAACTTTTTTTTAATTCAACAGTTATGTGTTTATTTGATTAGAAAGAAATAACTGCCACCCCAGAGTGAGGATTTCGTCAATGTCATTGTTTAAGTGGAGATTCACATTTTAGGTTTACTGAGTCTGTTCAATGTGAATAGAAAAAAATCATCTTCAATAATAAGCCCATACATAGCATGTCTCCCTGCACTGGCCTCAGCTTGGTCTCCAGCTAGGGAGCTGACCCACACGGGGCAGCAGACCTCTCCTGTTTCACCCTCTGCTCCCCTCAGCAGTGTATCTCAGTACATCTGCCTGTTCTGCTCCCCACTCTGTCTCTGGTGAATCCTTTCACCCCTCCCCCTGCACCTCTGGCCTACACCCCAGTTCTTGTATGTATAAATAAATAAAAATAAATTTTAAAAAAAAAGCCCATATGAACAAAATCTAACAGAACTCAAAAAGGTGAAGTCTGGAAAATGCTGCCAGATTAATGACCCTAAATAGTTTAGCAGAGTATTTAAACTTCATGTTTTTGAATGTGTGATTTTTGACAGGCACACCCAAGAAGTGTTATATTCTTTGTAAATAAAGTTTAGCATATACCTCTCATTATCTAATATCTGGAGAGAAGAGAGTTTGAAGTCATAAAACCCACACAATCTAATCATTTTTCTTGTAAATTTAAAATTCATAAAGAAGTAACATGCTGAGACTGACTCTATTAGCTCTCCTGGAATAAGCATGACTTTACAATGACAAAAGCACATATGTAAAAATGTTAAACATTCTCTAAGTTTTAAATAGATTCAGCCAAATCTCCAATGCAGGTCACCTAAGATGAATGATACAAAGAGAAATAAATATCCTTATACAAGTCATCTTTCAAAACCCAGATATTCTGCATTGAATTCAGGTTCAAAGAAGTCATTAATAAACATTACCCTCCAGAACACTGCCTTAATATGTTTCAGAAATGAAGCACATTTAACCTTTACATTTCTGTTGACTTGGAGAATTTATGATTCTATGTACTAAGAATATCCAAAAAAGGTTGAAGAGACTAGTATTCAAAGAAATGGTCCTCGATACCCTTGCATCTTAAATAAAGCAGTTCAAAAAACATCACACATTAGAGTGGGGATAAACTTGAATGAAGTTCTGAATGACCAGAAAGAGGAAGGTTCCCACAAAGTGTCTTAATGTGGGCACGAGCTTGTGCCCAGCAGCAGTGAGATGTCTTCTGTCAATAGATTCAGTTTTGTGGTTCATGGTCCAGGATTCAGCAGGATGGAGGAAGAGTAGTAGTGAAAGGAAAAGGAACTGTCTTAGAAAGAACAACAGTAACCATACAAACTTTTAAGTCTAGGCCCTCCCTGGTGGCGCAGCGGGTTAAAGCACAGCACTGAGAAATTAAATTTACTTCCACATGAGTTCGATCCCCGCCTGCCCCGGAGGTGACCACATGGCACGGCAGACCTCTCCTGAACTGCCCGCTTTTCCCCTCAGCAGCGTACTTCGTCACCTGCCTGTTCTGCTCCCCACTCTCTCTGGTGAATCCTCTCACCCTCCACATCTCTGGCCTGTACCCCAGTTCTGTATGAATAAATAAATAAATCTTAAAAAAAAAAAACTTTTAAGTCTAATATTAAACTAATTCCTCAGGTTTTTTTTTTTTTATTAATATAACAATAACAATTGTTTACAAAGACGTAACTGTCATGTTATGTAGGGACATAGCTCCATGAATCTGCAGTAAAAT